TTATTATTTATTAAATTATTAGTGTTAATATTAATTTAAAAGATTTTTTGACTAAATAATTAATAAAAAAATGTGCATTACAAGGTTTTTTTATCGCAAAGAATGTGTATTAAAATGAGCATGCATTAGCTCAAAGATTGAGCTATGAAAACATGCAATGGAAGAAAATGAGATTTGAATTAGGTTTTTTTGAGTATGTGAGCTCAGATTTTTCGTTCATTCATAGTTTGAAATAAATTGATAAGTTGCATTATAAGGTAATAGATTTTTGGATGAAGAAGATCAAAGAACAAGAACTCAAAATTTGAAAATACAGGTTTGGATTTCCATTTTTCCAGCCCTTTCTCTCTTTCATTTCTTCTTGTGATTTTTCAAATAAGGGCAGCTTAAATAAAAAAAGGGATTACATTGCTTAGTATTCCCTCAACAGTACAAAGAATTACATTTAATCCATGTTTGCTGGAGAGTTGACATATTCAAATTGCAGTTTGTAATCTAAGCATCAAATCTCAACCCCAACCAACTATTAAAGACATGAGCACACCTACCACATTAATTGAGGAGAGATACAATGCAAAACGGCACTTCTAACAATTGGTGTGGTCATTGGAAACGTGGTTTACATAAGAGGACACGAATGGTTCATGAAGACTTTTCAAATCAGGTAGCCGAGGAGGCAAATAAGGGGGTGTGAAAGATTGAATGTAAGAGAATGTAGTGAAAATGATATATTTCGGCCGTGCTAGTATTTCATTTGTATGTTTCTTTTTTCTTCTTGTCTCTGTTTGTGTGGATTACAAGTCGAGTTAAAGACCAATGTATAGTATCAAGTTCAGTGCATGACCAATATAGTATAATATGTAATTTAAATCTGCTTGAATTGATCCAGGCAAGATCCTCTCGCTGGATAGAGGAAAATACTAGAGTTTAGGCTATGATTTTGCTAGCTGGTGTCCATTCCCATCTTATTAGGCAGAGCAAATACCGAGGGGCATCTTAGATATCAGTGGAAGTGCATTAGTGTGAAGGATTTCGTAAGTGTTTTGTTTGCTAAGAATGTCTTGTGGACTAAGACGTCTTTTGAGATTGGTTGAAATGTATATGCGTTTGGGTACTAGTTGTACCCCGCTTAATAAAATTCATCTGTCCATAAAAAAAAATAAAAAAATAAAAAACTCTGCTTGAATGTATTCATTAATGTGAAAATGCAACTTATCATTAAAAAAATGCAATTTGAGAAAGGTGTGAAGTTTTGGTGGAGGCATGTGAATCTTTGGTTGTACATGCATGATTTGTTCTTTTTTTTTTCTAAAAAAATAAATGTACAGAAGACCATTGATGAGCTGAATTTATATACATATTAATGTTGAATTTTTGCCTTAACATTATTAATATTTGGAAGAATTTTATGAGATTTTACATGGGTTTCATTCTTTGTGCAGAAAAAGACTTGGATGCATAATAATAGGAGTTTTTGGAATTAATTGAACATCTTTTGGAAGTTGAAGGACTGAACTGCAAGAAGAAAGAGACTTCTTTGGGACCTAAATGAATGAATCTTAAGTTTTGAGACCTCGTGCTTATTGTACAAAACTTGGAGGATCAGGGTTGAAATTTTACCATTGAAGAAATTGCAAAAGAGGCCAAAAACCAGATACGGGTGTGGTGTCGACACATAATCGGGGTGTTGACACCATGCGTTACGCGTCCAGAATTACAGATTCTGTTTCCTATTATATGTCGACACGTAATTAAGGGTGTTGGCACTATACGTTTAGCATCCAAAAAAATCCCAATTTCTTATTTTTCCAAGTCCTACTTCTCTTCTAATAAGGTTTCTTAAACTCTATAAATACCCATTCAAAAATCAGTTCCAAGGGCTTTTAAGAGGAGACCAAGAAAGATGGCTAAGAGGAATTCAACAACAAAAGAAGATCAAGGCTTGGGATTTTATATTGTCAAACTGGTTTTGCGTGTTCTTGAATTTTATTTTATGATGTTGGATGCTCGTATATTCATCACAAGATTGTTGATTCTCTTTTCTTTAATTATGAACTGATTTGCCATCTAACGCTACGATGTAGCCTGATCAATTTAATATAGAGTTTTATGATTTTTATACTTTCAAGGTTTATTATTTTATGTAGAGTATATGTTATTGTTTTTAATGCTTTTTAATTATTGGCCACCATTAAAATTGATTTGGAGAGTATAATTGAGACCGAGAGGAGATTTTATGCAATACCTTCTAGTAATATATATCATGAATTAAACGAAAACCAAAGATGGACCAACGTGATTTGTGCAGCATTAGTGATAAGTGGACTTAATTTTCCATGTAAACTAGGGAATTTCACATAATATAATGCATCTTTATCTATTTAAATTCACATAGAAATATAGTGGGTTAATAGGTGAAGATATGTTTAGTGTAACTTGAGAAAGTATATTAAATAGGATAAAAAATCCCGCTGTCATATAAATAATAAATTCCTTGGAAGTATATTAGTCTAAATTCTATATTAGTTGATTATGGTGAAATCGGATGCCTTAGAATTTTAACTCTTGGTGTTACTTAAAGTCAATTTAGTTTTTCGTTAATTAGTTTAGTTATTTAGCTTAGTCAAATCATTTAATTTCAATTGTTCAAATAAAATTAGAATTAGTTAATTTTTGTACTTAGTTAGGTTACAGTCTCTGTGGGACAATACTCTATTTTCATCATTACATTACTTGAACTGACTAGTACACTTGCTAGAGTGGAATTAGCTCATCAACCATGCAAGATAGGGAGAAACATACTTCATTGCAGGTTTCCCACGGTCCCACTTCAGTCAAGTATGTCAATGTTCTTGTTTTATTATTTGATCAACTTGCTTGACTTTTCTTTCCTTGCTGTCATGATCGTATCTTAGAAGTATTCAAGTCAAGTTGCTTCCGTGGATTATGTGGTGGTTGGATTCTGATAGATATGATATTTTCATCAACTTCCTTAATCAATTTTCCTGCTCATATTGGCAATAACACATGTAAATCTCTAATTGTATATCATTGATTTTTTTAAAAAACAAAACCAATTATAATTATTATTAAAGGGGTACAAAGGTACTGCAATCATTACATCAAAAATACAAATATGCTTCCTTAATCTCGAAATCCTCACATCAACAGACAAGTCTTCCCCTTCTCATCCTACACATCCTTCTATCCAATGAAAAAATTGCTGTTCTTGTTTTAAGTTTTAATTTAAGGTAACTACTGTGGCTTGCATTTTGTGTTGCATACCCGCC